CTGATCTATATATAATATCAAGGGCTAATAAATACAATATACAATAATATAATATGATATGATATAATATAATATAATACAATATAATACAATATAATACTATATAATATAATACAATACAATATAATATAATATAATACAATATAATATAATACAATACAATATAATATAATATAGATCATAATATAATATAATAATAATAGTAATATAATATACCATATAATACAATATACATATAATATATTATAATACAATATAATATAGATACAATACAATAGAAACAATACAGATACAATACAATACAATACAGATACAATATAATTCGATAATATAATATATAGCTACACGCATAAATACAATACAGATACACATACGATGTATCAATACAATATAAAATGATATATCTATGCAATACAATACGATATAAGCATATACAATACAATACGCTATATATTCAATACAATACAATACGATATATCAATACAATACAATATGATATATCAGATACAATACAATAGGATTTATAAATACAGATATGAAACGATATATCTATCCAATACTGTAGATATATTGATACAAATTACAATAGATAATATTCATATCATACAATATATATACGTGATGGTGTTTTAAAGCAATGTTTCTAAGTTAATTAAATTCAATCGAGCATAAAGAAATCATGATAGCCGGGATGCAACGACCTCTCTGTATATATAATAATATTCTCTTCCACCTCATCTGTCTCTTTCTTTTCTGCTCTCTCCTCCTCTCTCTCTGCTCTCTACCCCTCTCTCCCCTCTCCCCCTCTCTCTCTTCCTCTCTCTCTCTCTAATTACTCAGCATCCTATTCAATCGTAATTGCGGCATCCCTGCATCGCATCTCAGCAGCATCCTTGGCGCAGCATCAGCCTCTCTTGCCTAATTGCGTGCGTCGTTCCGCACCCGCAAGCTGTCCGTCGGAGACATCTGCATCGCTCTCGTCTCACTGCATCCCTGCATCTCATCCTCATACTCCTGCAGCATCTCCTGCATCCTCATCCTCATCTCCCTCAGGCTCCCTGCATCCTCATCCTCTATCATCCTCAGCTCCTACGTCGCTTCTCCACTGCATCCTCATGCCTCATTCTCCTCACATCCCTGCATCCTCATCCTCATATGCGTCTCAGCATCCCTGCATCCTCATCCTCATCTCCTCAGCATCCCTGGGCTCGCTCTATCCTCATACTCCTCAGCATCCCTGGCATCCTCATTCCCTCATCTCCTCAGCATGACCCATGCATGCCTCATCTTCATATCTCAAGCATGCCACTGCATCCTGCATCCTCATCTCCTCAGCATCCGCTGCATCCTCAATGCCTCATACTCGCTCAGCAATCCTGCATCCTCATCCTCATCTCCTAGCAACATCCCTGCATCCTCATCCTTCATCCTCCTCAGCATCCCTGCATCCTCATCCTCAGATCTCCTTCAGCATCCCTGCCATCCTCATCCTCATCTCGCCTCAGCATCCCTGCATCCTCAATCCTCATCTCCTCAGCATCCCTGCATCCTCATCCTCATCTCCTCAGCATCCCTGCATCCTCATCCTCATCTCCTCAGCATCCCTGCATCCTCATCCTCATCTCCTCACATCACACCCTGCAGCCTCAAATCCTCATCTCCAGCATCCCTTGCATTAGCCTTCATCCTCATCTCCTCAGGCATCACCTGCATCCTCATGCCTCACTCCTCAGGCATCCGCTTGCATCCTCATCTCCTCATACTCCCTGCATCCCTGCATCCTCATCCCATCTGCCTCAGCATCCCTGCATGCTCAATCTCCTCAGCATCCCTGGCATGCTCATCTCCTCAGCATCCTCATCCTCATCTCCTCAGCATCCCTGCATCCTCATCCTCATCCTCCTCTCCTCAGCATCCCTGCATCCTCATCCTCAATCTCCTCCAGCATCCCTGCATCTCATCTCCTCCAGCATGCCCTCGCATCCCTGCATCCTGCATCCTCTATCTCCTCAGAGCAATCCCTGCATCCTCATCCTCATCTGCCTCAGCATCCCGCTGCACCTCATCTCTCATCTCCTGCAGCATCCCTGCATCCTCATCCTCATCTCCTCAGCATCCCTGCATCCTCATCCTCATTCTCTCAGCATCCCTGCATCCTCATCCTCATCTCCTCAAGCATCCCTGCATCCTCCAATCCTCATCTCCTCAGCATCCCCTGCGTCCTCCATCCTGCATCTCCAGCATCTATCCTCATTCCACCAGCACTCATCATCCTCACTCTGCTGCACATCCCGCTCAATCCTCATCTCCTCACATGCATGCCTCATCACCCGTCAGCATCCTCATCTCATCTTCATCTCCTCAGCCTCCCTGCGTCGCCTCGATCCATCATCTCTCAGCATCCCGTGCATCCTCATCCTCATCCTCCTCACATCCCTGCAATCCTCATCCTCATCTCCTCAAGCCTCCTGCATGCACTCATCCCTCATCTCCTCAGCATCGGCAGCATGCCGCCTGCAACCTCATCCTCACTCCTCAGCATCCCTGCATCCTCATCCTCATCTCCTCAGCATCCTGCATCCTCATCCTCATCTCCTCAGCATCCCTGCATCCTCATCCTCATCCCTCCACATCGCAGCACTCCCTGCGTCCTCATCCTCATCTTCTCAGCATCCCTGCATCCTCGCATCCTCATCTCCTCCAGGCCTCTCCATGCATTCCTGCATCCTCATCTCCTCAGCATCCCCTGCAATCCCTGCATCCTCATTATCACCCGCATCGTCCTCATCCTCATCCTCACCCACAGCATGGCTGCCTCATGATGATGATAATGATGATGATGACGACGACGACAATGACACTGATGGTGACGACGATGACGCCGATGATGATGATGACGATGACGCCGATGATGATGATGACGATGACGCCGATGATGATGATGACGATGACGCCGATGATGGTGACGACGATGACGCCGATGATGATGATGACGATGACGCCGATGCTGATGATGGCAACCCCTCTGTAGCACGGCGTGAGTTTCGTGATCAACAAGTTTGTTGAAGCAGACGATCCAGGCAACCAGCACAGCACGCATGCGCGCGTATGGTTGGCCATCGTACTCAATTAATTATCATCAGAAACAATTATTTTTACCGCGGTAGAAATAATTCCATCGCGGTTAAATTAGAGAGATATATGTTACCCCATCAGAGGCATTGATATGCATAATTAAAAATAAGTCTATCGCGGTTAAATTAGAGATATATATGTTACCCCATCAGAGGCCTTGATATACATAATTTAACCGCGTTAAAAATAAGTCTATCGCGGTTAAATTAGAGCCAATTTACCCAATCAGATAATCTGATACACATAATTTAACCGCGGTAGAAATAATTAAACCGCGGTAAAGATAATTAAACCGCGGTAGAAATTACGTATATCAAGGCTTCTGATTGTGTAAAATAACTATATAAAAATACTTGTATTAAAGTTATTTTATAAAAATTACATCGGAGTACGATGATGGGCAACCGTAGAAGCGTACGTGACAAACTGCCGTAGTTGTGACGTAGTTGTGACGTAGTGTGACTATGTGTAAACACGTTACTGCTCGTAGGTGAGGAATGATGGATGATTTAGTAGCATATAGTCCAGTCAATATAATTATATTGACTGGACTTATAGGAGCAGAGGATGAGGAGGAGGAGGAGTGACGTCACGCACCGTGTAGCCGCTGCATCCGTCGGATCTGTCATTAGTGGATCTGTCATTAGTGGATCTGTCATTAGTGGATCTGTCATTAGTGGATCTGTCATTAATGGATGTGTCATTAATGGATGTGTCATTAATGGATCTGTTACCAGCGACGAGTGAGAGTAAGAGATGAGATAGTGCATGAATGCAACATTTATATATGTAAGTATCAAGAGTACATAGTAACTTGCTTCTTTATTGGTGGCATATTTTGATGAGAAAAATCGGTTAAAAATGCGGGAATCGGGTGTCTCACTCTTGGTGTTATTATCAAGAGTACATAATAACACCATTAATGTTATTATGTACTCTTGGTAAGTATGTAGGTAACGTGCGTGCGTGTATGTATCGTATATACACGTGTGTATTCATGTAACAGGTGTGTGTGTGTGTGTGTGTGTGTGTGTGTGTGTGTGTGTGTGTGTATGTGTGTGTGTGTATGTGTGTGCATATACATGTATGTATGTGTATTTAACATGTTTATATGTATGTGACTTGTGTATGTGTGCATATATACATGTATGTATATGTGTATATATACATGTATGTATGTGTATATATACATGTATGTATGTGTACTAACTGTTTATATCTATATACTTGTGTGTGTGTGTGTGTGTGTGTGTGTGTGTGTGTGTGTGTGAATATACATTTATATAGATGTATGTAACATGTGTATATATATGTAACATGTGTATATATATGTAACATGTGTATATATATGTAACATGTGTATATGTATGTAACATGTATATATATATATGTAACTTGTGTATATATATGCAACTTGTGTATATGTATGTAACATGTGTATATGTATGTAACATGTGTATATGTATGAAACATGTGTATATGTATGTACATACAGTTTCTTATCCTATCATCACATCAATGGTCATTGCAATGTCTCTCAATGCGCCCGTCCCTCTAGGTGGCGCCACACGCGTCTCACACGACAGAGTAACTCGCAATTGTCTTCGCAGCATCTCGGGCAATGTCTCGCCGCCAGGTGGCGCCGCACGCGCGTCGCCATGTCTCAGCGGCTCAGCACAAGATGGCGCCACTCATCGCTTGCTTTTCATGATCAGCGCCTAGACGCTAGATCTCGCCACGCGTCTCTCGTTATGTTTTAGTACATCGGCAATCACTAGATGTCGCCACGCGTCAGCCGCGACGCCAGATGTTGCCACACGCTTCATCTGCGTCGCTAGATGGCGCCACACACGTCCGCTGCCTCGCTAGATGGTGCCACGCGTCACCTGGGCGTCCCTAGCGACGGAGTACTGTCTGTCGTCTTCTCTGTGTCGAAGCGCTTCCACACAGCCGTCCCTCACTGAGTCTATGATGAAGTTAAACACCTTCGTCCAGAGATCTCGCAGCTTGGGCGTGAGCTTGTCTCCAAAGTTCTGCTCGCACATGTACATCATACCCTTCTTATATTGCTGCAAGTGAGAGGGAGAGGGTGTGTTAGAGAGAGAGAGTGCGAGAGGGAGAGAGAGGAAGGTGTTAGCGAGAAAATTGGAGGGAAAGAGGGAGTTAGAGAGAGAGGGAGAGAGAAAGCATATATATATATATATATATATATAAATACACATCTATAAATTATTGTATCATTATTAGTAATAATTTTATTACTAATAGTCTAATACCATGACTATGATGTTACTATTATGCTAACTATTACTATTATTACTAATACTATTACTATTATTACTAATACTATTATTATTATTACTAATACTATTACTATTATTACTAATACTATTATTATTATTACTAATACTATTACTATTATTACTAATACTATTATTATTATTACTAATACTATTACTATTATTACTAATACTATTATTATTATTACTAATACTATTACTATTATTACTAATACTATTATTATTATTACTAATACTATTACTATTATTACTAATACTCTCATTATTAACACACTCACTTCGAAGTATTCGGGTTTGAAGCCGTCATAGTAGGCGTGTCTCTCTCCCAGCTGGAACAGTAGCGGACGTATCGCAGTGTCAGCATTGTCGATGTTCTCCAGTACAGCACCCACGACCTGCATAAAGCGGCCACCGTGACCTTTCAGACGGGGGTCACGGCGAAGGTCGTCGCCGTCAAGGTCACTGCAAGACACCGGAAGTGACGCAGTCAGTGACGCCGGAAGTGATGCGGTTAGTGGTGGTCGAGGATGTGTGTACATCAAAGTTTAGAAGATCAATTTACATCGAGAGTCCGTAATAAAGATCATCTCTAATATGGACTCTTGATTTTCATACTTACGTAGATTAGATTACATTATATTACATGTAGATACATCGTAAGATATTGTCAACGTTGTGAGAAGCAAACGAAAGAGAGAAGAGAGGAGAGAGAAACGCGAGACAGAGAAGAGAGAGAACAGAGGAGAGAGAAGAGAAGGCGAGACAGGAGAGAGCGAGAAGAGGGAGAGAGAGAGAGAGTGTGAGAGACAGAAGGAGAGAGAGAGAGAGAGGGAGAGAGAGAGAGAGAGAGAAGAGCGCAGAGAGGGAGAACGAGAGGAGAGGGAGAGAGAGAGAGAGAGGCGAGAGAGCGAAGGAAGAGGGGGAGAGAGAGAGGGGGAGAGAGCGAGAGAGAGAGAGAGAGAGAGAAGGGCGAGAGAGGAAGGAGAGAGGGGAGAGAGAAGAGGGGGGAGAATGGGGAGAAGGGGAGTCGCGTGTGTGTGTGCGCGTGTTATGTGTATTATATCCATTCCAGTAAATACCCAACCCTAACCCTAACCCTACGCCTAACCTAACCCTAACGCCTAACCGGCTAACCCAAAACAGAAACACCTTAGAGGCGCATCATCTCTTCGTCCGCGTCCGCCGTCCGATCATCCATACCATCCATTCATACCATCTATCCATCCATCCATCCACATCATCCACATCCATCCATCATCCATCCATCCATCCATCCACCATCCATCGCCATCCATCCGCTCATCCATCCATCAGCCATCCATCCATCCATCCCATACATCCCATCAACCATCCATTCTATCCATCCACGGTCATCCATCCATTATCCATCCATCCATCCATCCATCCATCCATTCAATCCATCCTTATCATCCACTCCATCCATCCATCCATCCATCCCCTATCCATCCATCCATCCAATCCATCCATCCATCCATCCATCATCCATCATCCATCCACATCCCATCCATCCATCCATCCATCTCATCCTATCCGTCCGTCGTCCGTCCGTCCGTCCGTCCGTCCGTCCGTCCGTCGCGTCCGTCGTCCGTCCGTCCCGCCGTCCATCTCCATCCTTCAAATCCGTCGTGTCGTCCGCCCGCCGTCCGTCCGTCCGTCCGTCCGTCGGTCCGTCCGTTGTTCCGTCGTCCGTCCGTCCGTCCGTCCGTCCGTCCGTCCGGTCCGTCCGTCGTCCGTCCGTCCGTCCGTCGCGTCGTCCGTCCGGTCCGCCGTCCGGCCGTGGTGTCTTATTG